TGCATTATGTAATGAAACTAAATTCACTTTTCTCTACTTTGCCTTCAGTTGTTTAAACAGGTGAAGAAAGTCCTCAACAAAACGAAATATGCTACAGCCTCCATGACAGGCTTCAGGGAGCCTGTTTTCCCCATGATTAAAATTCTCTTGGCAGTACTTTTCATCAGTTTATTTCAATATTAAGACACATAACATACGTATTCCTTTCCAACTGTAACTCATTGCTCCAGAAAGAATTTCACCAGAGAAATCTAAAATTAAAAAACAATCTCTAATTACTTAATGAAATCCTTGCCCACTTGTATTATAGAATTTTAAGTATAGCTACCACAATTATCGAAAAAAATCCATTTTCAGACTTCTTACCATCGCTTTAATTCCACACTACAGGAATGACTACACTCTCCTAAAGCCTGGTGAAAATAAAGTCACTGAATCTCAGCTGAAGCTGCTTTTTTAATTCCAGAGCAAGATCTATTTTACATTACAAGCTCTAGGAAATTATTCGTCTAATTAGTAAATCCGCCAGCATCCCTGACATCAGGCAACCAAATAAACACTCTTAAAAAATAAATTTAAAAAGAAGGCAAAAGGAAACCTCAGGTCACTTCTCTGTGAATTCACACACACATACACGTGCAGTGTTTACACTCGCATATTCTGGACATCACCTATAGGAAATCAAAATGTCCCACTGCTCAGTACCATGTAGTTCAGTACGTTGCTGTAGCAAAGCTTTAAAAATAATCGTGAACACATGAACACTGAGAAACATCTCAAGCCATTTGGCATTACAAACCTGAATAAAAATGCACGGAAATTCTTTTAGCACATTAGAACACCTCAACAGGCAGCCTAGAAAAGATAATTTTCTACAAAAAAAGGTTGGTTTTTTGGGTTTTTTTTTTTTTTTAAGGGGGATGGGCAGGGCACAAACAGAGTCTAGTTTGCTTCCTAGGGGATCACATAGCTTCCATGCATATTCAGCTTCTTCCATGACACAGCAGAGAAAATATGTTTGCTAATCTGTCATTTGTGGTGCATGTTCAAATCAACGGAACAAAGAAATTAAAGCTTCTGGTGGCAGAAAATTAAAATAATTTTCTAGAGTTTTTCCTCTTTCAAGGTGATTTAAAAAAACCCGAACGACCCTTTTCCGTAACACAGGTGGGGAACAAGAAATCTCACGCTAAGACAACTTCAAAACACCAAAAACGCTTCCTCAAACCTGCGCAGGTGATGCCACCTGAGACCGGCTCCCACAGAAACAGTCACATCACCAGCCTCCCTGCCTCAGCCCAGCGGGTGACTCCCGAGAGGCCAGAAAACACACCAAATCCTGCCCCGCGTCAGAGAACAAGGCTTATTTTTACCGTGTTCTTTCTGGTCTTATCTTCTACCTTATTCCTGTGCTGTTCCCATTACAAATCCCCTGTAAAGGCCTCCAAATACACACTTAAAGCAATGCTCAGCTGAGATCCAATGCAACAAACTCTGAACCTTTATGAAATAAAGGCTTTTTTTCAGTTTTTTAACACAATCTGCAGAGCATCTTTCCTCGCGTATTGTCCAGGAACATCATCTCCCTTTAACAAAAGTCTCGCACAGCTCTTTGAAAAGCACAAGGACCAAAGCCCTAACGCCTCCTTCGCCACCTTTCCGCTCATTTTTCACAGCACCTGAAGGATGGTGTCATGCACAAAAATCCTCACAAGTGTTTAACATCCATGAATTTTCACAGGCTCCAGCATCTGTCCCCGAACATTGACGCGAGTGTGGGCGGGTGATGCACCTCTCTACACGAACACAACTTCTTTTGCCTTTTCCACCCTGCCAGTTGAGACAGACACAATGAGATCTGAGTGACAAAAGTTCTTCAAGACATACAATTTCAGAAGAATTCAGTGTCATAAAGACCTTCATAATTTCACAGCATCACAAAATTGGCCATTTCCACTTATAATAAAGCCGTGAGAGGATCTCCAGTTTGCTAAAACCCCCGAGAAATACTATGGAAATTGCAAAAAGTAATTCTTCTTCAGATAATAACAAACTGTCCTTGCGTTATTCCAGATAAATCCCACTCTAGAAATTAAAAATAGATATAGAATTTAGTAAATCAATCCAGCGATGACAGAGCCAGAATCTACTACCCAGAGTATGGAGATGCAAATAAATTCCTGCCTGGTCTAGGTGTGTGAAACCTGAATATATTGCACAGCAAGTGGGAGCATCTTCCCAGTAAAAAGGGGTGAGGTAGCTTTAGTTCACCACGGGGTACCAGGGGTTTACGTATTTACATTGCTAAATTCAAAATGTGTTAAAAATGGAACAGAAAAGTCCACTCGTGCTGTAAGACTTTAAGGCCAGGTGGGGGTTTTGCTTCACAAAGTGAAGATATGGTTAAATGTTTATTAGTATCTAACTCATTGCTTAGAAGCACGTAAAACCCCTTTCTGATCCCTCAAAATGAAACAGACTATCCACCAGATTCTATTACTTGCTCTACTGAATTTGAATTTACTGAATTAATAAGAAAAAAATGTTTCTTTCCCTTTCCTCCCAGAGAATCATCTCATTTTCCATTACCCCAACTAGAAATTGCCAAGAAAATGAAATGCTGAAGCACAGCACACGCTGCTTATCTTCTGATTAAATCTTAAAGCTTTGTTCCAGTGTGATCACACTTAGTTCTCTCAAATTCGGAGCAGTATTTCATCCCGTCTCCACATCCCAACAATGACATTTTATAAATATTACGACTTTCTTGGACTGCCTTCTATCCATTCTGCAATGAGCAAAGGCGCACCACAAGAGAGAGGTTTTTCCTGCTTGGTTTTTTTTTAGAACCTTAAATGTAACCAGGCCTCCTTTCAATTCATCTTCTCTAGGGTTTTCTTTTGGAGACCTCTGGAAGTCTCACCAGTAATAAGTGTGAAAAGCTTTGACAAAGAACCGGTTGTCTTTATCTAAGTGTTAAGATCTCACTGACAGAGAGGTGTTAAGAGATAAACAAAACAACTCTCTAAAGCAGCCTAAAAGTCCTCTCAAATATTCTAGAGGTGCCTCTCTCTTCACCTGCTCTCCAGCCAAGACAGGACCTGGAGTTCTAAATCCAGAAGACAAATAATTAAAGGAAGTAAATAAATCTTTCCACGGTTCTTTAGACATCAGGAGTGCATGTGGGGGAAATCAGAATAGGAGAAACTAATTTCATCTTCACTTCTGCACACTCTCCCCAGCGCCAGCCCATCTGACCCTTCCAGAAGGTCCAATGTTCAAGCAGGGAAGATTTTATGAGGATAATTAACCTTGATTAGAGAGTTACCAGTGGTAAAATTCCATCCATAATCAAACACTATTTATTATATTGATATACTTATTCACTTAATGAGTACTTTCAGCTTTGGAATAGAACTGGTATGCAAAGGAAACATCTCCAGCCCTGGAAACCCCTCTGAAGAGCAGAGCTCTTCACCAGAGCATAAAACATTCACAGGTACAAGGGGAGCTTCTTGGTTTCCACTCTTAGGGCGAGTTTACTCTTAGAAAGCTAAATATCCAAGAGGCATTTCAACATGAATTTTCAAATTACTAAAAGAAATCCAATTATTAGCTCTAGTAGTCTTATTTTTCCCCAGTATGTAATTCACAGAGCCACACAAATACACAACTACCGCAGCTATTAGAGAAACAAGGACATGGGCATATCGCTAGGAAATGCACATTTGGATTTTTTTTTTTTTTTAAATTCTTCCAAGTCTACAATTTTTGCTTTTAAATGCTAGTGGCGATAGGGAATGAGAGGAAACTGGACAATTCTACTCATATTTCCCAAAGTACTTTAAAACATGTCCTGTAAAAAGTAGTTGACCTTAAAATTTGCTTATTCCCTCACTTAGGCAAATAAAATATTCACCCCGTTCTCCAAGCATGCGGGCAGCAGCCGGGGTGCAGCAAAGCCTTGTGTCCGTACATCCCCACTCTGCCTAGCTAGCGCCTTACGGATGCTGAGCAGATCCGCCACGGAAAATAATGAACAATGGCAACAGCACTCCCCTCGGATCCCTCTGTGCCAACTTCACCTTTTTACATTTCACACCAGTTTACTTCTACATCAATGAATAACACTGTGCCACAACACACCTTGTATTTTCACAGCCCGGGCTCGCAACTCCTCAGAAAATGACCCGCAAAGCCCATGGAATGGTCGCTTTGGGTCGGGCAACAACCCGCCGTGACCTTACCTATCACTGCTGGTACTGCTGCTGCTGCTGATGGAGTCACTGCTGGAAGATCTGCTCCGGGATCCGCTGCCGCTGGGAGAGCGCGTGGGTCTGGACGCCTGGCTGGCCAGCCTCTGCGGGGACTGGGTCCTGGACTGGGACGAATGCGGTGACCGACTCCTGCTGTGCTGGTAATTCCTCTCTGGCCTTCTGCCTCGTACCTCCCGTGTAATATCATCCCTGTAGATATCCCTGTGTACCACACTGGGCAATGTAAACTGCTCCCGGGCCCTAGGTTCATAACGGGGGTCGTGAGCATCAAAACGGTTTGGACTTCGACTCCGAGAAGTATAATAGAGCCCGTGTTGTAAAGTCCGTTCTCGAGGATCTCTATAGTAATCCTGATCGTAATGTCTTGTCCGATCAAATCCTCCCGTCCCCCGCTCATGGTGTCCATAGGCACTATGTTCATAAGCACGCTCCCTGTTATCTGAAGCCCTGTATTTTGGAAGGGGGGAAAAATATTTCATCAGAAAGGGGGAACGCACAACTAAAAGCAAAATCATGCAAACATTCACGTCAGCACTGAACTTATTTTCTGCAACTGCTTCTCTGCTAAACAGCAATAACCTATCAAGCAAACACTGACAAACTTAAAAACATTCTACTTGACTCCAAAGTTATATTCGTATACGATAAAGCTGAGCAATCATTTCCTTTTAATCACAATATCAGGCTTTCATGACCAGCATCTTGCCTGCACAGGAAAAAAAAATAATGCTTTTCAGTGCAGAATCCTCATTTAACTTGTGTTTGTTTTTATTTTTCCTTTAAATTCAATAAACAAGAAAAACTTCATGTTTGTGGACATCATAATTAGATTTTTGTTCTTCCTCCATTTTTGCTTAAGAGCTTCAAAAAATTTTCTGGAATTTGGTAATTACTGGAGCTCTTCTGATTATCCTTCTGCAAAAATGGCATCGCAAATCGGGCTGTAGCCATGAAAGCCTCCGTGCAAAGCATGACCCAGAGGTAAGAAGCTGCTTTCAAAAGGGGTAGCGTAACCCATAGAGAAGACCCAGAAAATTAGGGGGTTTCTTGTCGCTGTTCTAAAATATTTCATTCTCTTAGAGGGGAATTTTGCTTTTATCTGCCTGCTACACTCGATTCTCGTCAAAGCTGCATAAGGAAACATCTTGATGACTAATGTCAGAATACTTAAACTGCAAGGATGCAGGCCCCCAAAAGAGTCTAAGACCCTACACAAGGAGTCTAAATTAAATTTTTCACTAGGTGTTGTTTGCTGAGCCTGCTATTGTTACTGCAATCACAGAATTTCTATCTTCGCAAGCACGCTACTTTCAAGTAGCTGAGGTCCACATTTTGTGTCAGTATTTCAAACATTTCATGTGTCAACTGAGAGAGGCTCTATGTTCTAAAAGTTAGTGAGATCTCTCCAATAAAGAGAGTAAAACTGACAGATAAAGTTAAAAGAACATTACAAATAGTTTAGTAGTCTAATTTAGACAAGTACCAGGACGGTATGTCTAAGTTACGTCCACAAAATGAAAGATCAAGAATGATTACGTTGAATGTTTAAAAAATACTTGCAAAATTCTAAATATGTCAGGGTAGCCAAAGTTAATTTAAAAATCTAATTATCCATCTTATGAAGGACATTTCAACCTTTTTTTCCAGCCTTCTCTCTCAGATTCTTCCTCCAGAATCAATTATTACTCACTGCAGTCCCCTGAATCCTAATAACCCAATTCTGCCTTGTGCTTCCTCCTCCTCTCCTGCATCACAGGTCTGTCTTCTATTTAAAATGGCAGAAATATTTCAGGTATCTTTTATAAACTGAAAATGGGATTTGAATCTTTTTCCATTAGCATCTCAGGAGGTTCCTTCCGTTCCTTCTCCAATGAATCACTGGATCCTTAATCCTGTTGTTAAGCTGTAGCTCATTTTCAAGGTTTCTACAGAGCTAGCTCACGCTTTTTGCCTGCATTTTTTCTCTCAAATTATATACAAAAAACTACCTAACCACTGCAACAGAATGTTATTAACTTATGTATCCGCTAGAAATTCATTGCTGCCTTTCTATTTTCGTTATTTCTTGCTCGCAACAATGGTATTTTGAAAGATATTTCAGGACCTGTCACAGAAACGTGTCTTTTTTTCCCCCCTTTTGAAGGGCCAAGATCAACAATTTTATAAATGATTGCATTTAGCATCCTACAAAGTGTTAATCAGTGAAAGCCGATTTAATGAGGTAAGAGAAAGAGCAGTATTTTCTAGAAGGTTACTGCTATATAGCTGACATAAAAGAACAAAGTCCTCATCCATGAAAAGGACACAGAAGACAGACAGAGGAGCTAGCAGAGCTGAAAATCTAACGGCTACAGTGCTTTTTGGATTTATCTATTAGTACTAAGGACTACTGGAGTTAGTGGAAAGAGAGGGTTTGACTTGGGTTAGGAGAGGGGCTAATATACACAGGGCAGGACATACCAACCTTTTCCACGTGTGGAAACACGACCTATATTCCCAATTAAATCTAGGGAGAGAATTGTGAACATAACTTCCCCAATTTTGGCCCCTCTTACAGGGGTAATCCACCTTCTTAATGGGCAAGGGTGTCAAATGATATTTTAGATGAACCAACAAGAAAAAAAAAAAAATCTTAGTGACAAGACAAAAAAAAAATTCCACTGGAAGGAAGTAGTCCCAGACTGAAACCGTAAATCTGAAACCCCCAGACTTCTTTCTTGAGACAGTAGGCACTTAAATAGATCCATTATTTTAATTTCCAGCCCTAAGTCTGAATCAAGCAGCTGGTAGAAGATCACCCAATGCACGAGGGCACTCATCGCTGCTGGCCAGCAGGCATCCTCTAGCCGCCTTTGTAACCATCCAGCCCAGTCATTTCTCACTGGCGTATCCACAAACTGGTGTTAGCACCACGTCCTTAAAACTAAAGTATGTTTAATGTGGAGTAGCAAAGAGCTTTTTAAGAGACTAGACAGTAATCCACTCCCCATGGCTACTGGCGTCTTGACTGTATACCATCCAATAAATTCAAGGCAGTAGTTCTTATCCCAGCATTAAAAAAAATCACTATAATTTCCAAAATTTAGTAATGTCCATCATCTCTTTTTGCCAATACCATCAGAAAGAATAATCCCAATAACTTGGAAATGATGTAGATCCAAAATGGAAACATCACAAGCTGCCTTCGGTCTTCTCCATCCTGGCGTTATTTCCATGGCTAAGTGTTGTCTGTAGAATCCAAGGGGCTGCATCATTAAAGTCTACTAGAAATTTTGTGGTGACAATCCAATTAACATACCAACTGCGTACTGTGAGAACTGAGAGCTAGGCATCAAGCTTTCACAGAAATGTTAGGTTCTAGTATTCCGAAGATACTCCACAGAGAACTTCACCACATGTTGTAGAGTAAGATAGCTCCATCTGGCAGCAGGGATACATCCGAGCAAGGCCTGAATATTATCCAAGAAATGGAATCATTACTTCTAGAAAAGAGTAACTCCAATATCGATGCTGGCCAAAGGAAATCTTCCATCTTAAAACCACCTTATTTCAAGTGTAGATATCCAACCAGCTGCAGAAAACATCCTCTATGGATCCACAAGGTACCAGCCACTGGGATAGAAATCACTTCCGTTTCCAACCCAAAATAGGAAACATAGATAATTCCCAAAATTTTAAATCCATCTGGGGGCCCTAGATAGGAGTTTGTGTTTCTCACCATATCAAATACAAAATACCTGCCTAGAGAAACCTTGGAACTTACCCATCAAGTCTCCGCTCATAACGTCCTTCCCGTGCATGAAGCGATGGTGGGGGGCCGTAAGTGGGCCCCCCACCACCTCCTCTGAACCCAGAAACCTCTCTACTACGAGATGCTATGGAAACTGTATCATCCAATCCCCGAGCAGCACTGGGAATGGTTCCTGGTTCATTATAATCCGTCCGTAGGTCTCTATCGCCCATTTTGTTGACAGAGTTGTGTGCCTTCTGCGCACTTTTGATGTCCACAAAATCCACAAACGCTGCCACTCCGCCTTCCGACCCCCTCTTAGGGAGTATTTTGACACTTTCGACACGTCCATATCTGGAAGAAAAGCAAAGCAGAGCACAGAGATTAGCGCTGTTAGAAAAAGACCGCATTGCATGACATTGCCCCCTGCAAAATTGACATCAGTTTCAAACCGTTCACCCTTCCCATACAGGAGGAAAATCAATCTCAAAGCACAGCAGAGGTTGGAAGATGCATTTTCAAAAAGAGGGAAAAAGCCACTTGTAGAGGTGAAAAAGCCATTTAAAATTTCCATCATTATATTCAAAGCTCCTCTCTCCTGGTTAGCCTACCACGAGATCGCCCTTTTTATAATAACAGAGCAACACAGCTGAAGAAATAGGTATTTGCAATTAGAGCAGCTCTTCTCGTTTTTAATCTGACGAGCAACGCATCATTAAAACAAAACTGTGTCAAACAAGTAGAAATAAAGACATCCCAACAATTTTCTGAAGAATAAAACGACCTTGACACAGCAGTTCTACTACTCTGATCTATATTTAATCCATTCAGCGCTAAAACACAAGTCTTCATGATGATCCTCGTTCCTGATCTCAAATCCATTTATTTACAGCAGCCTCACAGGACACTTTTGAAGCATGACTGACACAGGCACCCCCGGACCGGGGTGCTTCTGGGCTTCAACTTTATATCCCCCACCGCGGACAGGCACAAGAAGCACGCTGAGCGAAGCTGACGGGGACGTGACGCCACCCTGGTTAGCGCACGTTAAGTTAAATAATTGCAACACAGGCACTTACGGATGAGTAAATGTCTGCGTAAAAATAAAAACAAACATGTTTGTGCACACAAGAAAACATTGCGTAAAAACATTTTTAAATAACTCTCATCAACTCATAGCAGAAAGGATAAAATGGAAAGTACGAACACAGCAGTATTTTAAAACAGCAGAGAATGTTTTGGTGGCTCCTTTCTCTCAGCCAGGAGATACAGCAAAGCAGACAAGAGCTTTGAACTGCAGTTGTTAATCCAGGAAAAAAAGAGGCAAAAAGCCTAGTTTTGAATATACTGAGAAAACAGGCATGGGCCACACAAATTAAAAAAATAATCAAGAAATACTTGTAAACTCTATGAAGAATTATTGCAACAAATTTTCTACTCATAAAGGCAGCACAACACTGAACAGATGTAAGCACATCTTCAACAAGAAAAGCTGTTTTCAGCTACACACGGAGGAAAAAAGCGAATCCAACGGCCTGCCTGAGGAGCAAAGGCTGCAAGAACCCGCATCTGACTCAGTTTTATGCCTGGCTTTCAATACACCTTCAGATTTCGTCATTGTTGTTGGATGACTAATCCTTAAATACGATTTGAAAGCCTGCGTTGCTGACTGCTGGCTTCTCATTCCAACCTGACCTACTACACTTTATCTATCATCTGGTTGGGATTTGGATCTCATTTTTCTCTGGTTTGTACTCCCCCAAATACGGTGCACTGTCTGTTAAGGAACATGTGCGCAAACAGGGGCATCTTTCACATCAAAAAGCACCTCGTTAGGCATGAAAAGGCAAGGTCGCATATGGGACATATTCTTGACGCTAAGCTGTCCAGAGCAGAGCTTGCCACCTCTGTACTCGTGGGTACGGCACGGTGACATTTAATTCTCAAGGGTTTCCTAACCTGTGATACCCAACTGATGCACTGGTCATGTTTTATTCTAATTAAAAATTGCAAGGAGCAAATAATCGCAAGTGGTACTGCAGGAGAGATCCTTGTCAAAGTTTGCACTCTCCCAAGGCTGGCTAAAGTTACCTTACCTTGAAGGCAAGATTTGAAAGATCAGAAAAGTAGAGAATAGCGTTAATAAAATTCGTGCGACCAAAAAAAAATGGCCAATTGGATGTGGCACGTGTAAAGAGAGAAGAAACAGGAAGGGAGGACGCGGGAAGGAAAACAGGAAAGAACCTATTTGAAAAAATGGTCATGCCATGAATGAACATGATGAAAAATATGAAAAATAATTAGGTGTCCCAGTTAGCATCACCCTTTAACACGGCGTTTCAGTGCTGGTTCTCCACAGACAGCAAAGGAAAGACGCCGTAACAGGACAGAGTGCTCCAATGCTCACATCTATTGAGTTTTTCTTAATAACGTCGTTACTGGAGTGACTGGTCAGCACATGTACTTTCCCTCTGCTCACTGTTTACACATTCCATTTCTGGCAACACAGACCCCCACACCCTGTCTACAATATTCAGGGAGGGGGGAAAAAAAAGCAACTTAGCACTACTCAAAAACCCTAAAATCTGAATTGAACTTCTGACTGCAGTCACCACAGCCTACTTTGTGTGGAGTTACATCAGAGCCAGCCTGCCAGTTACATCAGAAATGGGCTCCGGAAGACTTCCTGCTCACCAGCCTGACAAGGCTTTTATTTCCTCATTCTGAAATTGTAACACATACATGTCATTATAACATATGCAGAGACCTCAATTCTTTTTCTTTTCCTGGAGTAGATCCACAATGGGTTAAAACGTTCAAATATCAGAGCTAATGCTGCCCAGAAAGCGCAGACAACACAGAACATCGACACAATACACTCCCGATGTACCAAGAAAATCACCCCGCAAACACACAACTCCTGCAGCTGGAGCTTAATTTTTATATTGGGATAATTTTTTTTTTTCCCTAAATCAGAAATGGATGGGGGAGGCTACTGCTGTATTCCACTGCAGCCGCGGTCCTAAATCATCCCACTCGGAGACGGCGTGTTTTAATCCATCCGTTATCCAGATACATAAATACACCCTGCGCTTTGGTGTCCCGCATCGTACCCTTGCCGAGCCCCGAGGATAATCTGTGACAATCGCCTTTGCTGAAAGCGAGGGAGGCACAGACGGGGGGAGGAGAAAGGGAGCAGAAGGGGGGGATGAAAGAAAACCGAGAAGGAGAGAGCCCTGAGTATTCAAGGACAGCTGCTGGAAGAGGAAGGTTTGCATTTTCCGTGCCCCAACGTGGTCCTGTGATTACACACATCCTTCGGTCCCCCACCGTGAAGATTAATCTGTCTAGTGATCTGACCCAGCCCCACCCATTGGCATCTCTCCGAGCTGCTCCCGTCTTGGCAGATGCTGCCGGGAGGAGGAGGAGGACCGCATCGAGGGGAGAGGAGGGGAGATCTGCAGTGCTGCATCACCAGACAGGTCTACTGCAGCAGAATAATACGTTACGAGAAAAAAACTGATACTTTCAGGAGGGCCTGGGGAGGAGAGGCGGCGGTAACGCCACGGTTCGTTACGTGGATCGCACGGTCAGGCAAGATGGAGATGAGTGCGCTCTGGGGAGCAACCTTTGTCCAGACACCGAGGGCTGGGAAGAGAGGACAAAAGACACGGGGAGGCACTGCCACGACCTTTGGTAATGTTCACAGAGCAGCTCCTCTCAACCTTCGCCTCGTATCTTTATACCTGTGCGTCAGCCTGTTCCAAGAAGGCTGCGTTTCACAATCGCTGGCAGAGTGAACAGAAAACAAAGAGCCTCGTTTGCTCAGCTCCAAGTCCGCAGACCCTAATGAAAACAAGTCTCTTTAGTGCCTCTTCCCATCTGCAACTCATGCCGATTAATCATTAGCTCCGTATTGTAACAAAGGTGGCCGAGGCCGTATTTTTGGAGGGGTTTACAGTTCAACCAAAAGCAGAGCCGAGGATGTGCAAGAGCTGTTATGTCACCGAGCCCCTCCACCAGCACAGCACGAATGCAGCACTTGGCTGTAAACACAAACCTAGCCGCCCTTTCAGGAAAAAAAAAAAAAATAAAAAAAAGAGTTGCTCGATAATCACGGCTCGAACAAAGCCACACTAATCCAGCTTTTCACACAAAGAAAAGGAATTCATAATTTAAGCATTATCGGTTTATTCACTGTAGATCAAAGCACCTCTATAATCAAGCAGCTGAAATGTCTCTGGGCGCTTGGCATGGCTGCTCAGCATGTTTCTCTCGCTCTCCAGCCCTTCCTCCTCCCCAGCTCTTCCTCCCCGACCAGCAGACCGCGTGGCTGCGTTGGGAAACGCACTTCTGCCAGCGCCAGGCCAGGCTGGTTCCTCCTCCCCAGGGGCGACCAAAGTCACCCCTCACCCCTACACCGGGTATCGGCACCCGCAGCACCCTCGCCTTTCCATTTCTAATTAACCATTTCACCTTGGGTGCTCACTGCAAACATTCATTTCTCTGCAGGGTCTCTGCTATTCCCAATCAAAAGCATTTTAAACAAAGGATGGACTATGAGAAAGGCAGCTAGCAAATGTTTAGTAAGCAAATGTTACCATGTAGCTGCAATATTTTATAAACTGATGGGGATCTTTACAGGATGATATAAACACGATAGGAAAGGGTAGGTTGAAATCAGGGCGATTCACTTTTTTTAATTTAAACTAAATCCCACTTTAAATCATACTACCTCCTTATTCCTCATGTTGAGCTCGCCTCAATCTCGTGAAAGACCTCTTATATCCAACCATTTTCATTACTGCAGAATTCTCAGCTACATCCCAGTCTAAAAAACTTCACTGTATTTTTATTTAGAAGCCAGCGCAACGCTACGCTCCAGATACAACTAAAAGAGAGATAATGCAAGATCAAAAATAACACAGGAGGTTTTTTGCTTGTTTCTGCACTGCTCATTAAGGCCATGATTTGACAAGAAGTCCTGACACAGCAGGACATCGGAATACTTTGGATTCACTTTGACTGAAGCCGGCTATCTTTAGCCATCTGAAAAGCAGAGATGATTTTTCCATGCCACGCTCAAACTCCTTTCTCCTCCGTTATTATATAACCCAGGCAAGCCCCAGCCTGCATTATTCAGTAAAGCGCTCGCACAGCTTGAAGCTTTTCCTGGCCAATCGCATTCCTCTTGCTTTGTTGTTATTTCATAAGAAAATTATGTGACCTGAAATAATACTTATCCAGATGTCTGCACCTCTTCTCCTCACTCACAGCTCCAAACCAGCCCAATCCCCACGCTAGGGGCTACTCTAGTCTCTCACAAAGCAGATCTGCTCCAGCCACAGGGAAACGCACAATGTAAAGCTGCCGTAAGGCAGGTCACCATCCCCAGCTCCACAGGGTTGTCTTTAGCGAGGCTGCTGAGGTTTGCTGAACACCCTTAACATCAGTTCTGGGTTTTTTTGCTATCATGGACATCCATTGCACAGCCCAAGAACTTGGCTGACCACAGGAGTACCTGCATCTACTTCCCATCCATAAAATACACAAAATAACACGCTGGAAGAGCAGCAAACCCCGCTGTGCCGCAGCCTTACCAGCAGCACACCGAGCCATGGAGACAGCTATCCTGAAGAAATCCTGCTCCCAGTTAGCACCAGCTGCCAGTATCCCCAGCTCACAACCCAAACTATGTTTAAGATTCAGCAGAAGTTCCTAAGCCAGTAACACAAAGGAACCCATGTCTTTACAGAGGCATTTACAAAGAATAAGGCACTGTAACTGATCACAACAAAGGTGTTACTATAATAAATATCATATAATCGTTACAACATGCTTGGCCCAAGAAAATTACATACCACCACGTTCCATGCTGCATATTCATTATAGCCACATACTTTACTTGCCATGAAAAATATTTATATACTTCTAATTTTTTTTTAGAAAGGGAATTTCGTATCAAGAGGGGTATGAGATGGTATTTGACCACCTTCAGACCTGAGCGGCCCAAGTCTTTGGAATTATCTTCTGCTTCAAGTAATTCAGAGTACCAGATCAAAATCGGACAATATCATCACGTGCCTAGCATGGAAGGAAGACTTGAGAGCTTATGGATACAGGAGAATAAAGGAACCTAAACAAGATGCACTCAACACAGAGACCATCTTATTGAGCTCAGGTCCTATGGCAGGTGTAGTAACCGTGAGTTACCAGAGACAGCCACAAAGAAGCATGCGCACCGAGCTGGGGTGAAAATACTCCAAGTTAATCAGAATGTATTGTAATAGACACAACAAGCAAAATTCCAGAGTCCTGGAAAACCACACTTAAAATCAACTTGAACAAACGTGGGGAACTGTTGCCCAATGAGCCACAATTGCTTGGACTGTCACGCAACCCCAGAGAATTTGTCAAATGATATCTCAAATGCTTAATGACAAATATGGGAACGTACACACAGCCGCTGGCCTTCGCTAGCAGCTGCGCTTCAGGGAGACCAACAGCAGAATTTACTATGAACAACCTGATGGCACAGCTCGTTACAGAGGGCCTGGTCCAGAGCCGGCCGAGGCAGGAGCTCCCATTCCCAAACCAAAACACGCGGGACATCAGAAACCCCTCACACCCACACACACGCATTGCAGTTCTACCTTGAAAACTGGAAACTGGCTATTCAGGATTGTGGTGAGAATACACATACACACACCCCCCCCTTTTGAAGGGACCAACAGCACCATTTTGTAACACATCTCCAAACACCTCACCTTGCCCTCATTTTCTGAATGAATAGGTTTAAGTGACAAAACCCACCGGGACGAGGCTGCCAGCAATGTATGGAGCTCTTCCAGCAGCCTCCAGAGGAGAGGCAATGTATGGTGTTGGCTCTCCTTATCTCCAGCTGCTACACTGTGTTAAAGACAGCTAAAAATAAAACAAATTAAATGCCTCTCTAATTCTACCTTTCTCAGCACAAAATTGCAGTTTCTATAACGGTAAGCCATCGTGAGCAGCAAGGATAACGTTGTGAATGATCAGGAGTAGGGAAGCTCATCAGCGAGCGATAAATCCGTACGATGCAAGGCTTTGAAAACCTTTACCTTCCCAACGCCAGGCAAAATCAAAGCTCCTCGTACCACAAGGAGCGCTGGTTTTCAAGCCATGCCGAGAACAGACCTTGTGACAGCAATGATTCAGAAACATGCCCTAATTACCCAGCTCCCATAATTTTCTAGATTGCAATCTGAGATGCTTTAAAACCTGTTTAGAGTGATCTTTATTGGCTCTGCAACCTTTCGGGGGAGAAAAACAACGTTCTTCAGGGCATTCGCTACAGCTCTCTTCCTAGCAATGAAGATCTTCAGGGAAACCTCAAAATTCAGGAGCAGAAACCATCAGCCAGGTTACCGAGCTCAGTCAGACCGCGTTCGTGACTGCGGCAAGTCCTTAAGATGATATTCCTAACCCTCCCCTCCCGCCCCACCGCCCAAATTACCCAAACCCAGACCACTCCCGGACTTTGTAGCTCCCTTTCAGCAGCCCCAACAGCACCCCAGGGGAAATCTCCCAACTCCCGACTACAAGCGTGCGTTTTGTTAATGAGATACAGCACGTGTTCCTACCACGCACCGAAAACAGCCAGGGCTTTGTCTACACTCGTAATCCCTCCCTAAGAGATGACAAAGTAGGAAATTAAAAAGCTAGCACAGGCACATTCACTGATACTTCTGATACCTCTGTTATTTAAGAGCAACACGCTCGACATATCAGATAGTCCGGGAGATAGCTCTGTGCTGAAATAAGCGCTCGCGTCTTGCTTTACAGCTCAGCTCAGTGCTCCATTTTAAGACACATAGTAAGAGCAATTCCTAATTAAGACATTTTATTTATGTCGTGATGGCAAAGTCACCATTTGGATACTGCTGAGGTATTAATATACAAATGAAATTATTACATACCCCCAGAGAGGGAAGAAATGGAATATTTAAAACCATTTCTTCACAGTTGCTACTGTCAGTAGAAACTACTTTGTCCAATGGTCAACATAGCATGAAATTTTTCCGCAACCCCTCCGACAAAAAATTTTGCCACAGATAAGCTGTTCTGGTGCATGTGCATCAGGTGAAACCTGAACATGGGTACACCCGTTCCTGGAGATACAGATCGGTTCCTCTGCAACACCCCCACAACCCCAAACAGCACTCCAAAGCAGTCCCAGCAACATGTCACCCCACAGAGAGGAAGGTGAACCCACGCTCTGGGGACTGCGATTACGTGAAGCTGCATGACTAAAAAAAAGCCTCAGCTCATCCTCAGCAGCATCGAGCTTGGCTGCATTTAATATCCTCACCCAAGTCAGCAGCTCCGCTGCCTGCAACGTCAGGCCAAGCCAGCGTTGCATCAGACCGGCTGCAGGCAGGAGGCGAATCTTGACCCAACTGTAACAAAGGGCTTAACGCAAAATTATTGAGTTAAAGCTGCATAAATGTAGCTGAACAATCCAGGTTTCTCGTTCACAAGGCCACCTCAGCCAGACAGAAAAGAGGCAGAAGCTCTGTTATTAAGGAACTTGTCCTGGTTGTCACTTCTGTGCAATTAAGGAGAAGCATGGAAGCATCCGCAGCAGGGCTTATTGGTATATACATTATTAAAAAAAAAAAAAGAAATCAAAGTGGCTTTGTGAGCAGAAATAATGAAGACTCATTTCTTATGGACACATGTCTTGAGGTTGAATTCTCCGGCGTCCAATAAGTGCCAGTTCCCACTGCAGCTTTTCCCACGGTCAGGAACACCTCTCTCCCATGTGGATTCTTTAATGTCTAATAAGGGTTGTACTCTCGCTGCAGCTTTTCTCTCCATGGGGCCGCTAATCAGGTCTCTCTCCTCTATTAAAATCGCTTGTTTTCATGAAACTCAAAGGAACGTTGTATCTCTGAGCCTGGGAGCACCCCCTTCACAATGAAGTACAGCTGAAACTGGCTAACGGGTTCAAAATTGATTAGAGCAGAGACATCTGCATGGCTAGATGGCATCAGTCTTGCTCTGATATGAGAAGAAATATGACTATTTCTAGAAGCCTGAAGAGGTTACAAAAATCGCTAGAACCTCTGCATGTTCAGCTGTGTCGTATCAAGTACGATGTGCTGTGATTCTTTATCCCCTGACCTATGCAGATGTGCAATATCACGTTACTACACGCTAAACGCAGAGCTGCTGAATTCCATCTCCAGGGCATTTTTTCTTCCAGCTTAAAAGCATAATCTGCAGATTTGCTTCAAAAATACCAGTTGTGATAGGTAACATGAGATGCCTTCTGCAGAGGAATTGCTCCAGCCTGTTCTTTGGTGTGACTGATTTTCGGATTTGTTCGGATTCGATTCTAAGAACATGCTGTATTGCAACTGGAAGAGAATCTCCTGGTTAATCATATCTTTCATTCTTACATGCAAGGGTAATTCCCCATCTCAGTTTTGCATCTCCAAGCCCTGCTTTGCATGTATTCGGCAGCAGATGGAGGAAAATGCAGAGTCATAACATCACGGTCTCCCTGCCATGCTGCAGAGTACTGGAAACATGGATCACCTTAAGGCTCTGTAAATCTCGGTGCTCACTGGTTCATACTTCTCCAGTCAAACACAAACTTTATAACCTCTTCTCTCAAGGTTTTGTACATTTTCCAGAAAATGGTATTTCAGAAGAAAATAAAGTTTATCTGTCTGCAGTCTCTTAGACCATCCAAGTGATGGAATTGCTCTTCTCCCTTGAGTCACAACTCTGTTTCAATGAGTGACTGGCATCGATTCAGCCAACAGGTTTGACAACTTGGAATTCATTTCTGATGGAAAGCAGCCACAGATCCAAGGACTCACAGTCAAGTCAGCAACCCCCAAAGCTCACCTACTAAAAGGTTATGCTCTTGAAACCGGGGAGGGGAAAAAAAGTCCTATCAGCTTGGAAAAAAAAAGCCAGTTCCCAGCCAGGCCAGCCTCCTCCCCAAAGCCCTGTGTCTGAGCTGGCCAGTGGCTCCCACACTGCCACACCAGTCACCCAAATACAGATGTGCAAATGTGGGTTGCTTTGGTTTGTGACTCACCGTTGCCATCACCTTAGAGAAAGTGCTTGTTCCTGTGACTAAACCAACCAGCAGCGCAATACTCGGCATGAGCCAGGTGTCAGCCCAAGGAAACTCATATTCCCTGCGGACAAGCGGCCGGTAAGAGGCAGGCACGCACTCGGGTGTTTTGTCTGCAGTGACTACCTCTGCTCCAGGCGGTTTCTCCACAGGCAACAGCTTAAAACTTTCCACAACTGAGCTCCCGAGCCAGCCAGACTGTAATGGCTTTTCTTTTGATGCAACTCAAAGTCAAGGTTTTGCAAAGCTGAGCTGAAAACGTGAATTTCATTGCAATGACAGGCAAGGTTTCTCACCTCGGTTTGATGAGCTGACCTAAAGGAGACCTGACCACACCAAAGAATTCAGTAGACCCGTATCTCGAGGTGCATGGGTGCTGCCAGACCAACAGGGCTCCTCCAGCGGGTTAAGGACACAGCCAGACACACCATCCCTCCGCAACACAACCGGGTACATCACCATAACCGCCACAAAAGCTGCTTCCTAATTTTATGCTGTTTTGGTAATCAGCTTCACCTCTAAATGCTTCTTTTCAAAAATTAGCCTGACACGAGCTAGGCAAAAGCATGAAACACCAGCACAACTGAGCAACTGTAATCTCTGAATGGATTTAGAGGAAGAGATGTTTCCTGAGCTCAGCTGCTGCCAAAAAACAGCCTATCTTGCCATGACCAGCACATCAGCTACAACATCAGTGCGGAAACTATTTTTGTTTTTTAAACATGGCAAAGCTTCTCTGCTACTAATACTTCCAACAAGTTGTTTTAGAGGTAAGAAAGACCAAAGGTTTATTTCAGCTTTGATTACAATGAGGTTCTAGTGGGGATCTAGACGCATATTTCGCTGGCTTTCCAAGAGCAGTATCTCACACGTGCAAGCACAGACCCCCTGAAATTAAATCAAATGTTGATTACATATACAAGGGAGATACTTATCCATCCTGAGCTTTTATTCTCCTCACAGTCAGGATGCTAATGAGACCGGAAGACTTCTTCCTCCTCCAAAGACTACTACTTTAAATGCACAACTTGGCAATTTATTTTTCTTATTTTGCTCTATTAACTCTTACAGGTCACCCACAGCTGCCACAGAGAGCCTAAAGAGGGAACACTGAAATGAGCCTCTATGTGCTTTTTGGCAGCCGTCGCTATTCACGAGGACAGGAGGTATTCACACCAGCGGCAGGAGCAGATGGACCACAGCTCAGTGCTTTGTGCCACACGGAAGCGGCGAGCATCTCACCAAAGACACGTACACCACAGTTGGGGAAATCTGCGACAGGGCCATGAAGTTACTTAGTGAATTCCATGGACAGAAAACACAACAGGCTCAGTTTTGTACCTGGAAAAGAACTGAAGGTGATTCACGACTTGCCAAAAAAAAAAAAAATTACGATCTGGCAGTAGTCTTTTTATTGAGCTGAAAGATCACTTCAAGCCCAGCTTTGATTGGGTACCTGATCACCTTCATGACAAGAACTTGGTTTGAACCCAGCTCTGATTTCCTACGACATCAGGGGAAAACAGAAGACACGCACAAGCTCTTCTGTTTGGTTAGAGGGATGTCCAAGAGGAACACACACACAAGTCAGCGCTGTCTCCATCTGTCAAGAGAGCCATCGGTATCCAACAGACAAAGGTGTAGATTATCCATTCATGCTCCTTCCAGAGATGTTTGGACTTCTCTGGCTTTTCAGTGTTGAGATGAAAGCACATCCAGGGCATTTTGATCAGATCTGGAAGCTCACGCTTCAGATCCAAATGTGTTTTTTTTTTTTAAAAAAAAAAGTGCTTTCAATATGATGGTGCTAAGCTTAATTAAAAAGAGGAAGAGAAAGGAAGCAAAAAAAGCTCCCTTTTGTTCTCACAAGATGCCTGGGTCTTTAAACAGAAACTGGTCATTAAGACAGACTGCTGATCTTCTCCCATGATTAGTTTGTCTGAGCGGAAAATTGATGTTCCTTTCACATCCGAATTCTGCTGCGTTCTCACCCAAGTCATCACGAACGTCTGGACCCCAGGCAAGGCGTGGATATACAAACTGTAGGACAGAGCCAGCCACACGCAATGCTACCGGACACACTTCCAAAATAACCGTGAAGGATGATGTTCCAGCTGTATTCAGAGATGCTGCCTTCGTGTTCAGCCCATCCTGTTAACAGATCAGATTGCAGCAGGCCCTGGAATATATCCTGGTGTATTTACGAAAGTCCGTAACAATGTTTATTCTTTTATTAAAGGATGTTATCTTCACACTGCAGGATTTTACAGATTGCACAGGATGATTACCCAGTGTCAGTAGGTTAAACGGTAACTATGGAAATACAGAAACCAAAGCAGTTGCTGTGTTTTATTCATCATACGAAACTCATCATCACATCTTAATATATTGCTGCAGAACAGCACTGGAGATTGCTTTTCAGACTCCAGGAGACCAGAGCTGCCATTACTCACCAGGCAGACAGAAAGGCAAAACCTCCTGCACTACCCCAGCATGTACAAGGTAGGAAACACTACTGACTTGTTAGCTCGGACAACGAAAACAGCAGCTTTTGTCTAATCTTCATTAACTGTTCAAACAGTCTTCAGAACACTACAAAGACTCGTGCAAAGGTAAGCAGCGAGGCTGGTTGTACACTGTGAATTTCCATCTTCAGGCTCATATTCCTCCCACGAGATTTCTAAATCGGCATGCCGAAGATGCAGCTAAACTCCAAATCTTATTATGGAGAGTAATCATATTTTCTAGTTTATTCCTCAGTTCATTGTTTAGGAATGTTTGCCCTTGCAGCCTTTGGTTTCAGGGTGTTCTCAGACCTCAGCAAGTTCACTGAGCTTAATAAAAAACATAAGCAAAATACTCACAAGTGCTTATTTTTGGTAGCTACCAAAACCAGAACGTATCCGCCCCACTAACAGCTTAGCAAATTCCATCCTTGTTGCCAGCAACTCTCCCAAAACCTTTAGTAGTCTAAAACAAGCCGAGAGGGGTGACCCTCAGTTTTACCCCTTCCCAAACATCTTCAGAAGACCTTGTTTTGATATTTGTTATTTCTCAGGTGCGCCTTCATGTCACCTCCTCTTCTTCACAAGCTGACAACCACCACAACACCAAGACAGCCTGCAGTTGCGACACATCAGCTCACAAAAACAAAACTCCAGCAGAGCCCCAGGTTCATCCTGACTCACCAACTCGTCCAAAACCTGAAACCTGCCCTCTACTCATTTGGATATTTACTTCCTTTTTTAAGAAAAGCCAGCTAGCGCCTCTTCGCCCTCAGCAAAGACAAGGACCTAATTTTGGACACACCTTAAGACAGCAATAAGGTCATTTGCCGGAGAACTTGGCATGACTTTCTGTCCTATGAAAAGCAAAGAGGGGAAAAAAACCAGTCAACAAGGCTATCACAGAACAAATTTAAGCCTCTTCTCATCCCCCGTTCTAACTTGATGAATGGATTTAATACCTCCGTAAGCCTCGCAAGAACTGGTAAGTTCTCTACACGCGAGTCTGCTTTCTCGCAGTCTGCAAGGAAGGGCACTAGGATTACTTTACCATTGTACCCAAGGAATTTAGAGTAAGGACAAGAAATACCAAAAGCCAACATCACTTTGGAGTGGCTCAGCAACAACAGAAGCTGCTCTCATCAAATCACAAATAAACACAGCCAGGACCTTTGAAGAAACTTCAGAGAAGAAACCGTGCCAGAAAGGCTCAGCAGATGACAGAATTTCGTAACCGAGTGACATCAACTTATCTTTCTAGCAGGGCTCAGCATATAAAAACACTTCACAGAAGCTCAGTCCAAATCTATGCTCTTTGCGGTTCCTCATTAAGTTTCTTTGAAATAATCATATGGGCATTTCCTTGGCCAGCGTGGCGTCAACAAGCTGCCACCTCAAGCGCATGCAAAGAGCAGAATCCGGAGCGTCCGGAGGATTCATGAATCTTAAAACCGTTGAGGAGCCATCCCCCGCGTGACTCAGTCCCGGGGGATGAAGTAGGTGGCCGCAGACAAACACTGTTCGGTAACTCCGCCGGTATACCGTGGAGGTGACGCCTGGGCTGCTTTATGGCGCTCAGTGAATCAGTATCAGGAATGGAATTATTACAGGAGATCCAGCCGAAAACAAAGCCACAAGCCACCTGCAGAACCAGCACCACCATCTCCCCAGTTAGCCACCCAGCTGACCAACCTACACCCAGAGCAAGGCCCACTTTCGCCAGGAACCGACCAAGACTCGAGGGGGCAGGACTTGCCTCCTGTCTTCCACACCTTTCTTTCCCTTCTCATTCTGGGCAATTAATGTAATCCCCTTCCCCTAATCCCCCAACCAAATGTCCTCCCATCATCATCTTCTTGGGTTTTATATTCTCTGAAAAACTAAGATGACCTTTGCTGGAGATATTTGTAAAATGCAGCACAAGTAAGTCCTACTACTGCCCAATATTCTCGACATCGCTTCAGCAAAGCAAGGACATTAAATTTTACCTTGCCCTTCTCTTCAAAGGAGCTGAACTAAAAGGCTGGTACCTCATCTATGAAAATACCGTCACTTAAAAATGACACAGATTGACAAAAAAAACAGGAATAGTTCATTCTGCAGCCTTATTTCTGTATTTTCCTAAAGTACAAATCCACCTGGATAGAGATCTCTGTATGCAAAGCGGATTCAGCGCAACCATCCATGTGTTTGCATTCTAAGCAATCTCCAAGAACTATCACTCGATTATAAGCAATAAAACCTTGGGAACATATTTGAGAGTTTTACTAGAAAAACCAGACCACTCTTACTTCCGACTCAAGCCGGTTCCCGCAGAAAGGCACTGCGAGACCTGCTGGTGTCATACATGGGAAAAAGGCATCGGAAATGGTGCTGTCCCGACAGCCACGATCCTCAGCATGCATGGAGGTTTTTCTTCTCGTGGCTCAAAACCACCGCACCAGCAGCAATCTTGCCCCTCTGCCCCACACACAGCGTGTAGGAGAGCTGACCAAACTGCCTCTGCTCCACCTCAGTCCATAGGGGTGACGTACGGAGCAGAAAGCACGGAGATCGCACTCTCCCAGGCTGAATTTACACTCCCAGCCATCAAAACAAAACAATTTCTTGTAAACTGACCAAATATTTTCTAGAAGTTATTGAAAACAAACATGCACTCGCTGTCATATGCCAGCTTTTTGCAGAGCAACTCCTCAGAGCAGTTGTGTTTCAAATGCAAACCTCTTCTCCTGAAGATAGCCTATGCATCTCCTCAAAGCCAGAAATCGGAACAAGGTGAAGCCAGACAAAGCCTATTTTCCCCCAGAAAAACCGACTGAACAGTTATTTGTCTTCTCTGAGACTGCCTGATGTGCCATTGAACGATTCTAAAGGAGCACATTTGTTTCCAGAAATCCAGGGCTCCTGCTGGCCTTGGTTGCCTCTCTGAATGTCTGAATTCTCCGGCAGAAGAGGAGC